AGGGGTAGCACTGATTCACTGGAAGGCATATTGATGAGTTGGCAAGATATTGGTGTTGCGCTGATGAGCGCTGGACTCAGGGAAACTTTGAAACACTTTGTATTCATATTTTTGATAATATAAGCTGTGAAACTCGGTTCTCATCTTCTCTACCTTTGTCTATTATCAGACTACTGTTCGTTGTGTGTGTGAGAACGATGCATGGCATGTACACACTTGCGTGAGATGGTCTCCAGGACCCATGCATAATCATTAAATAATGAAAATTAGAAAAAATAAAACGAGAATTAAATTATTGCGTGGGCGAGCACGTTTTTGACACCACCATCTTTGGCGATTTTTCATGTTTTTTTGGCTGTGACAAATGCCATGAAAATTTATATATGTGTATCTTACATTATAGAGAATCTACGAATAAAGTTTGAAAAAAATAATCAATTGTTTTATGCCCCGAAATAAAGGAAAAGCAAAAAGTGAAAAGAAAGAAAAAACAAATTTGTGAGTGGGCAAGCAAGTTTTGACACCACCACCTTTGAGGATTTTTCTTTTTTTTTTGGCTGAACAGAATGACTTCAAAATTAAGCGGGGGATACCTTGCACCACAAAGAACTCACAAAAAAAAATTCAGAAAAAAAAAAAAAATTTGGGTGCCAAAATAATTTTTTGCGGGGTCGGAACCCCTTCAAGTTCGGGCCCCGTACGGGGACCCGAACGCCTGAACGTTCGGGGGTCAGCTTAAGGGCCTCTGTACGTTCGGCCTGGCAACCCTGGCTGCAACGATAAACCTACCAACAGGTACGAGCCCATTAACCAGCTAGGGGATGTTCACCTGGATTCTGGTGTACGGGTGCGGAGGGTCTTGGATTCTGCGTGGATGTGCTGCTGCCTGCGAAAGATCTCATGGATGTCAATGCAAGTCCTTGTTGCAGGTGCTGGGGTGTGCTGAGTGTCACGGCCGGTATGGCTTCAGTTTAACACTGGGTCACCGTTGCAGTGGTAAAGGCATCCGGCCTTTACACCCGAGGTCACCGGTTTGATTCCGTTTGGCTGCGTAATTCCGTCTGGCTGCGGATCGATTACTGGGCTGCAACGATAAACCTACCAACCCACCAACACTTGTCCGGCACAAAAAGGTAAGGAATTTCGATGTGACTGTGAGGCAAAAGTTGTTCAGTTCAGGATAGCCGGCATTCGAGTTTCCTAACCCGAACGGCCGAACGTTCGGCCCCCCTTGGAGACACGTTCGGCCAAACCCGAACGCCAAAAAAAAAAAAAAAAGTAATTGAAAATTTCCGGAAAAAATTATGTTATGCTGAACTTATGCAGAATAATAAACTGAACAACTTTTGCCTCAGGGCCACTTCGAAATTCTTTACCAAATTTAAAATAAAAAATAAAGTAAAAAATAAATTATTTTCATTTTATTAGTGCCCACGTCGAAATTCTTTACCAAATTTAAAATAAAAAATAAAGTAAAAAAAATATATTTTCATTTTATTGCAATCAGACTCGCTTTCTTCTTTGCTTTGCATACATGCAAACAGATGGCAACTCACACTGGCGCCAAGCGCCCACTCAAAGCTCAGAGATGGACGTCGACAGGCTATGGCGCATTAGCGCATTGCTTTCTTCATTGTGATCAGATGTAAACTCACTTCAACAGGCTATGGCGCATTAGCGCCTGTACATCCCAACTTGTGTCCAACACCACTGTTCGCACATACTCAACTCTGGATCACCCTGAATACCTCACACGCATTCCCTGTATCACACACTCATACACTAAAGCATCTCTTCGATCTACAGCGGCTATGGCCGCTCAACTACTAGTGACTATGGCTACGCTATCTTCCTTCAGCCCACTTCGACTCCGGGCGACCTGCAGACCACCTCGCACAAGACGCTGGGGCAGCGCTTCCGCATGGCTCACGCAGCAATGAATGAATGGCTGGGCGCTGCCTCTTGATTTATACTTCTGTAAGTCGTTGGTCTGCCCTTTTCCACCGGGCTCATGGTGCACACAGTCCCTCATGGTACTTGCTGACTGTGCGAAGTGAGACTGGGACTGGGTACCGCTGACTAAGCGAAGTGGGACTCACCAGTTGCCCACTTGCCTCTGACTAAGCGTGAGAAACTCTCGAAAAGCCACTTCCGGACCATCCGGAAGTTTGTGGACTTGGCCTTTCGGAACTGTAGCAGCTACGACCTGGACCTTTCAGGAGCTACAACCTTGACCTCTCAGAAATGCTACAGCTACGACCTCTACACAGCTATGACCCCTACTCAACAGACCTACAGATCGAACCCCTACAACTACACAGACCTACTTCAAATTGATACTGTACATGGGTAAGGTAAGGTCTGGGGATCGAACTCTAGGGCCCGCATCAGTGACTGCAAAAAGGTGAAAACCGTTTCATTATTGTTTTATTAATATTATTATTATTGTTTTTACTTTGGATCACCAGCTATTTAATTGATTGATCATTGATTGATTATTGGATAGAAAAGAAAAAGACTCCGCACACTACTGTGTGTAAGACTTCCTCTCTCTCTCTCTCTCTCTCTCTCTCTCTCTCTCTCTCTCTCTCTCTCTCTCGCTCGCTCTTGCTCTCGCTTGCTTGCTCGCTCGCTAGCTCTCTCTCTCTCTGACGCTTTCTCTCCTTCAATCTCTCTTCTCCCCGTCCGTCTCTTTTTCCTTTTCTCTCCCTCTCAAAGTCTCCCCCTCTCCCCCTCTCTCCCTTTCTCCCCCC